CTATACTCTTTTATTTTATTATTCGACCCGACCTCCAACGAGTTAGGCTGTTGCCTTCGCCTCTACAGAGAGCCCTTTGCCTCTCACTCTCTTTTCTCCGACTTTTGCTTACTCTGTTTCTATCTCTCTCTCGTTCAACCATAGCCTCCTCTTCCTCCCACCGCCTCTACCTTTCTCTTCGAAGCGATTCGCTTCGCGACTAACGAAGAAACTGGAATCTCGTTGTATGGATACGAAGAAGATTCTTCTTCCTTTCACTCTTTCTCGTGTCTCCGCGTCTTTATCTAACATCGGCTGGTCCCCTTTCGCCGCCCCCTTTCATGCTCCGCGTACAATTAGTTTGCTCGAACTTGTACGGGCCAACGAGCGTTTGCCTACCATTTTCTATATGTATCATGGACGCGTTATCGATGCAGCCGGCGAGAGGCGCGCATATTAAAACTTGACGAGACTCGCCAGGAATCCAGGAAGAGGCGCTGTGAAGCAGCTAGCGGCGGACAGTGGGGGGAAAAGGAAATCGTATATAGCCGACTATACCGAGGGAAACTTTTCATAATGTTGGATGCTGGATCCGTTTAGAAATTTTTCAATCGTGCCCTCGGTATCGTGAACTTTGCATTCCTCGCGTCCTTCGCGGTTATTCCACGCAACCGGATCATGTGGAATAATATTGACTCGCATCAAGTATCCCTTTACGTTCTTGCATTTTTATACGAATATTCGGTATTACGCCGCACAGGTTATATATTTCTTACCCGATGCCACGATATTACAGGTGCTATTTCTCTCTTTCTGTCTACTTTTTCCCGTCCGGTCCGTTTAGTTCTCACGATAACGCGCCTTTGCTACGAGTCACAGGACTCATAGTTCCGTGCGTTATCAACAGCGGGTGATAACGCGTGTACATTTGTATTTGTTTTGGCGTGAACTTTTATGTAGTCACAGTCTTTTTTGTTTCTTTTAAGTTTTATTAAATTATAGCGAAATATATTACAGTTTCATATCGCATCACGTATATAAAGGGTTTTATATTACATAACAAAACTACTTAATCTTTTCATTTTACAATTAACTCTGCCTTTTTCGTAACTTTCATCAATTTATTACATATGATCCAAGTAAGGCTATTACAAACTTTCGAGGAATAAAATACATACGGACAGGTGAAATTCGCATTGAAATTAATAACACAGACGGCTCTTCCGCATTTAGCATCGTGTGAATTGCAACATTCTCAATAGATTCCGCGAATAGCTAGCGCTCGTGTATAAGTTAACCCGTTTGAATTTTTTATAGACTCATCATCATATTTTTCTTTTGCCCTTTCGTTCAGCATCGAACAACGCAACATGTTGACCGCATTTAAATGTAAACGGGCTCGCGCTTCTCTGACAGTTTTCGCGAAATATTTTCAAGTTTCCCTCTCCGCCTTTCCCCCGGTTCCAGCACTATTTTGCGCAAAGAATCGCGTTAATTCGTAAACCGCAATGCAGTAGCTTCGCGTAATTGAAACCACTGTGTGTACCTATGTAACTACTAATGGTAACGGAAAGTCATCGGAAATATATTTTTATCGACTGAGCGGAGAAAATCATGGGCTGACCATGGGCCAGAGAGCTTATTCCGAAATCAATCACGTTCACGCGCGATTGTTTTACCTAATACAACACACGGCGTACGTGACTGCCGCGAAACTGGCTGGCTTGTTGCCATGTTTTCTCGCACGGAAACGCTCGCGATCGGTTAAATGTTAATTAACATGCTGACCTTTAACCGATCGTTCATGTATACCTGGGGATAATCGCTGATTTCTAACCGTATATGTATCTGGCGCTAATATTTTAACGCGCTTTCCTGCACCTAGACTGGCTTACCGAGATACTTGAACACCTACTACAGGGAACTTCTATACGTAACGTATATATCATATATGTTATGTAAAAATTTTGGAAACTTCGTTAGCACTGAAGAGAAACGACTGTCATGATTACGTTGGTCAAATTTGAAGTGAATGTGAAGATATTTGTTGCAAATTTGTATTTAGTAAAATTTGATAATACAGCATGAATATTGGTCTTAAATGTATTACCATATACGAAATGGGGTTCCGGTAGATATTGAAATTCATTAATATGATATAATGGATTATTAATTGTCCGCTGATACACCAGTGCAATCATGATAATTCGTGATATAGTACAAAGCTAATCAGATTTCAAAAGGTGACACCCATAAAATATTCATAAAAGTTTACAAATGGTTGGAATACTTCCGTGAATCTATGTATCTCTACTAGTCGCTGGTTTTTACCTCGAGAGAAATTCTCGCGTATCGTTGCCGCGTAACCCGCCGTTCGAAACCGTGGAGAGATGAGTCAGTATGACGGTGGTAGAGCGAAGGATATTTTGCAGTGTAAAAAAAGTCTCGCTTAGCTCTCTCGCAGGGTGCAGAGGTCCAAAGCTATCGTTTTCTCGATTCTCACGAGAAGGCTTGCCCCTTGTATCGGTTTCATTCGACTCCTTCTGCCACACAGTAATTAGAAAACACGTAAACGAGTTTTCGGTACGTTAATTCCGAAGAACGTAATTCCGAGCGTTGCTGCATCCTGGTATCTTCTCTTCTCCCCCTCTTTCACTCCACGCCTCGTACCTCTCTATTGGATGACCCCATGGACTTTCAGCCGCGCACACTCACTCGTATATATGCGTATACTTACCTATGCGTACACATGTGCACGGTTTATTGAACAGTGGGGATCGGTCGTTAGAAGTTAGAAACGGGGGGATCACGTGCGTCGCTTCACCGTTTGCCCGGTAATGCGCGCACAATCGCGTGTATCTCCAATTTTTTAAATGATCACGAATACACACAGGCCTGATAAATTTCCCCTCTGCATTCCGCGTTTGTTTGTACTGGTCTGTTTTACGCTTTTTTCAGCGATGAATTTATATATAAAAAAGCAAGGAGGAAGGCACTAAAGATAATATCGTTTTTCCAACGGTGACAAATAGGCGGTTCGTTGCGCGCCAACGCGGATCATAAATATTGAAATATTACACCTCTGTCGGAGTCGCTTGATTTTATAGAACATGCGTGCACGATAAGCGTTGCGTTACGCTATTTCAGTAACCATTCTCACGGTTGTTCCAGGAACATTTAGAACGTGTCATTACCATATAATACACAATTACCCACAAATCTGTATTACCCTGTATAAATTCCTTTCAGAAGCCACCTGTAGAAAAGACGCTGTATTGTTCGTGTCCGCGATACGACGCGTCAGACGCCGCGAGTAGGTATTCATAAATCGTAGAAAATTAAAATTACTTGCAACAAGTCGTTTTATTGCTGAAAAATAGCCGTCCGTATTTACGACTTCTTTTATAATCACTTTTTTTTCAATTTCATTCTAGCAACGGTAGTAGACATAATATAGTCCAACTTCGAATTTCTTCCATATTTTTCCATAGCGTTTTTCTCATAAGTTTAACCATTCTCAATTGAAGCCATAGGAAAAGAACATTTTCGGTCATATACCTTTTTTCTTTGCTGGATCTCAATGTTAAGATTCATTCACGTGTCGAGCAACTCAATACATTTTATTTGGTTTTTAGATTATATATGTGTTCTTGTCAGCCCTTTAAATTCAATACTTCAAAAATATCCATGCCTCAGCTGTTTTTCTTTTTTATAATGCTTGTCACATTTGTTACTTAATTTCAGAATTCTTATGTGTGAAGACATGATCTTTCAACTATTAACCATACCGTATTAAAATACCATCTTCCGATCACCAAACGACACAAAAATCAGAAAATCAATGAATTATCATGTCTCTCCTATGTGATCATCGATTTGAAACACTACAAACTCAAACGGTAGCATTAGTATCGAACCAACGCGTCACAGCGAGAAATCGCGTACATTTCATATACATAAACGATCGGTGGGGCGCCTGTTTCCGCGTGCTAAAAAATCCATTCGGATCTAGCGGCGCTCTTGCCGGCGCTGTATTATGGAAATCAGTGGAATCGCAGTGCCGAGTATGCAAGACACGTGAATTAAACACGTAATACACCGACTCCGCAGTGTGCACCTGTCGCGCATGCAAATCACTTAAGCCGCTGAGCCTGCTCCTGCTCGGTTTCCGAGCTTTTTCGGCCGCGATGCATATCGCTGCGCGCTCATTGCGCTCTCGATTGTAATGCGCCTTCTCTCTGCGTGTCCTTGCCACTTTTCTGTTTCTCCCTTTTTCTTATAGACGTATACGTGATAAGGTAGACTTATTCGAGTCACCTAAGCTTTTATATCATAAAATTCAATCTTGATCTTTACAGAGAATAATTAAATTTGTTGTATATTATAGAACACCGCGATTCTTCGATATAATAACTTGCCTTATATCTCTACATCTGTTTCTGTTAAAGTATCTATCGCTTTATACAGGTAAAGTATAATAAAATATATTTTTTTTGTTACGTTTCGCCTGCGATATTGCGCTTTATTTTGCTCAATCAACTTACCAATGAATTCCCTGAAGTACGTTTGAAAGGCTTCTGCAGTGTTCATTTATCAGAATATAAACACGGTGGAATAGACGGTTGATAAATGTCGATCGTTCTTTACCTAGCTTTTATACAAAATATAAAATATAAAATGTTTCTCGTTGAAAAATCACCTTCTTTCCATTGACAAATACCCGATTTGTTCCTTTAATAGATGCACTTGATGTGCAGCTAAAATTAATATTAGCGACGCGGTATTTTCCAAAGTAGAAAATCAATTATGTTTAAATCTCGGCTTAATACGAATATACAGGATGTAATAGAACAAACAGACTGTTTAAAACGCTAGAAAATTATCGAACGAGTCAATATCTTCCTCTGTAAACCTCTCTCTTCTCTCTATCTTTTTTTACCATCATAATTTTCCATCTCTCGTTCCCTCTGCTCTTCGAGTCTCGTAACTTTCACCATGTTTCCCGTCTCTCTTCTTTTTTCCCCGGTCTCTCGTAAAATTTGTCACTCTCTACGGCTCTTTGCTCTTCTACCTTCTCTGGCACACAACTTGCCGCACCTGTAAGCACAATCAACGATTAGATGCAATCAGTTACGCTTTCTTTTTCCTTCGTGCGTGTCTCTACGTCGTTTCTTGCTACAATCACTGGAATACTTTATCGATCGCATGTACACGTGATATTTCAGTTAATATTTACCGACGTTCGCGTTCCATACAGATTTTTCGTCCGCGATGTAACCATTACACAAATACAATCCAGGCGGTGTATTCGTCGTCGTCGTCGTCGTCGTCTTCGTTATTACATGCCACTACCAGTAACCGGAAGATCTTGTGCTCTGATAAATTACCCTGTAACGTAACCGGTGCGCTCGCCTTCTTCCGTCGTCCTTTCTGTGTCCGAGATACAGTCGGAGACAAAAATAATTGAACAGATAGCGGAAGGTAGGTATCAATGAAGTTTCATCGAATTAGTCCTAACGTTATATTGTACTGATATAATTAAGTTTCATTTATTACAAAGCAGCCGGCAAAAGGAAGTTTAAAATTCGTTAAATAGTTAATAATTTCAAGAACTGTTAGTAATTATAAATAATTATTCGAAAGTAATTTTGTGTATACGAGTATATTAATGACTTTTCTGTCTATTTTACAGCATGTTGTTGACTGTTCTAGAGTTTCATATTATATTTAGTCGCTTTTCTTCTCAAATACAATCTGTCTTGTAAAATTGTGGTGTCTATTGTACTACTTACGTTTAAATTTCCTTTTACCCGCTACTGTATATGCTGTGGTACGTACGTCTCGTTTACATCTGTGTAAACAGACCGTATTTAACGAAACGTCGTCGATACCTTATTTCCACCACCTATTTAACTTATTTTTGCCTCCGACTGTATTGTTCACCGAGTTTTCTCGTTCGAGGAAAATAGGTTCCAGCTGCATGAGGTAGGTCAGCTAGGGCTTCCTGTAAACACGATGAATAATCCAAATTAATGGTAAATGCATACCACGAGCGAATAAATTTCTACAAGAAAAAAAAGAAGGAAATATCTGAATACCACGCTAATTGAGACTTTGAAAGGATTAAGCTTATAGGAGATAATTGGTTTGTCATTTAGGTAGTAGGTCATCTTAAATTTCCAATTTTCCCTGTCCAAGTGGCTGTGAAACGCTGAAAAGCCGCATTTCCATGGATATAGTCAACATTCACCCGTTGAATTATGCTCGAGAGCTTACTAGACCCCGTCTTTCGAGAATATGCGTCACGCCAGTATGTTGTCATATATAGACACATACACGGTGTACCAGGATTTAAAATTCGGTAGATGTATTCTATGAGTGTAATCCGGCAAAAAGTATTTTATAAACGTAGCTTATTCGAAGCTTTATCGAAAAGTTGTAATAAAAATAGGAAATGCAAAAGGAACGATGACGGACTCATCAGGATTATCATGCTATAAGACAAGAATAGATTTATAATCAGCGTAATCTTTGGCTGTTAATATATAATTCACAAGAAAAGTTGAATTTATTACTGTATTGTGTATTACTATAGAAATGCTCACGCAAAGTTGTAACAAAATTTAGCTGCCAAACTCTGGATCACCCTATATTATATAATATATTATAAAAACATTTCGAAATTTCACGAATAGTGACGAGACAATTGTCACGGTTATGTTGGACAAATTTCAAACCAATCTGGAAACTTACATAGAAATTACAAAATATTTATTGCAAACGTAAGACGTATTAAAAAAAAAGATGTTCAAATACTAACACAAGCCACTATATTTTTACACATATAACATTTTATAATTATGACCTTAAAATTGGCCTTATAACCTTAGAATTTACTAAATTTGTTAAACTCTGGGACACCCTGTATGCACATATACACATATATACGGGTAGCAGGTATATATACGTGGCACGCATAATGATGCTTCCGCCACACATAAATTAGCATCACGAGTGGCCGGCTGACCCGGTGTACGAGACAATTTTCTAAGAAATTTGTCAAACGATAATTCGAGCGGCTTCTCAAGTGTAAATTCAGCTCTCGCGGTGGCTGCCGACCGGTCGGTCCGCCCGGTATGCAAATAAGTTGGTCAAGATAGCCGAGCGATGAGAGAGGCGGGACGTGTCGTTATTCCGATACCATTGTTTGTATTTCATGGCGGAACGTGAATCATCGGTTACTTAATTCCGATAACGCCGCCAGCTACCGATGTCGGACGCATTTTAAACGCGCCTTGTCTTCCCTGCTGCCTGCTTCCAATGGACCGCCGTGACCGATTTTACTGTGCGGAAGTCCAAGACTTGTATTGGCGAATGTGGGCGCTTTTGCCAGGTCGTACTAGATAGGATGAAAATTTGGAAAATTATTATCATTTGTAAAAGAGATATACGAAAGTTTAGAAAATTAGATTTTTTTTTAATTAGTGTCGTCGACGGAGGAGATATAAAATCGGCCATGCTAAAATTTATGCGTTTCGTACAACTTAAAACGCAGCGAGAGACAAGGAGCTTCAATCTCTTAGCCAGGATCGAACAGTTCAACGATTTAGAGTTGTTTCTTCCGTTGAAAATATTTAACCGTTTGAGTCCCAAGCAGCGCAATCGTGCTGTTTAGATTTTGTGTCGAAAAGTCCCAATATTCTGTATTTCATTGTTATCTTCTTAATAATGTTTATTGAACAAAACTTGAAATATTTATAAAGCAATAATACGCGTATATAATAATATAGGTGTATTTCACAGAAATAACAAATATGGCAAATCCCTGTTCGGGATTTTTCGACCCTGTTTTTTCAAATACCTCTGGGACTCAAACGGTTAATATAGCAGTTCATAGATAGCTTTCACAATCTGAGATTCAAGCAAATCAAATTGATTTCGCGAGACGCGTAGAATGTTTGGTATGGCTGCATCAATCGTTGTCGTCAACTAATACTTCAATTTATTACCCTATTATGTTCTTTGCACCAAGTATACACGGAGTACGATACAGAAAGGTGTTTGGATTTGCCTTTGGATTCATTTTTGTGGAAGCTTTTTCCGACGCCTTTTCATAAGAATCGTCTTAAAGGTTTTTGCTGAAAGATATTTAAAGCTAAGTTTTATTGTTCAACCAGAGGACAAAGAAAGCCTAGTAAACTGAAGTGACCTTCAAACAAGTCAAGGTCAAAGGAATGGTGACAAGCATGTTTAGCCGGTGCAAATTTGTGTAGAGAGTAATGGACACGTCTTGGTAGTCCGGTCCTGTTTAAATAACTTCTGCTCTCGCGCGACTTTCGGATTGTTTGAGGGTCATCGCCGTTACAGCTTTGTTAAATTTACTTCCACAGCACTGCAGTGTGCCCCATTTCTGAAATGCAAAACTATGTTTGAACGACCTTCTACGAGTAGCTAATTTTACATTTTCTCGACTCAATACGTTGCGAAGAATATCGTATTCTAAGTTAGTTATATCGTAAAATAATTGCTGCCGTATTGTTATTAAATACTGAATTATATATATACGTTGATATAATCTCCTTATTTCCATCGAATAAAAAACAATTTAAAAAATTGCATAAATTGCCGAATTGTTAGAAAGAGACTCGCAGAACGTTGTATGTATCTTTAGAAGCTCGTTTAACACAAAAGTATGGTGGATTAGTATCCATGGAAATAAGCGAATATCAGGCAGCTTATCTCTCTAGAAACGCGAAAGAACCGTAAAGCTTTCGATGTATACGTATCGTATAGATGCTTCAATACAGAAGGCGATTTCGTTGAACATCCAGCCGTGAGACGCGAACACGAGCGCGCGCGCGCATCCCTGAAAGCCACGTTTAAAGAGATATTCGCCGTCTGTATTGTATAACTCCTTTACGAGAGTTACATTTTCTTGTATATATTTGTTACGGGCAAAATTGTATGATACGCGCTACTTCTCACGTGGAATTTACAACGATCCCAGTTGGGTCTCTTTCGAATAATTAAAATTGCTGTTCCGCAACCGGTAGAAATTCCCCGAAATACGAAATCATCGCGTGTACGAGTATTTTACTTTTTTAACGTGCACACACGCGTACAAACTCGCACGTGTGAGTATCTTCATTAAATTAATTGTTAATTTACCGATAAACACGGAGTACAATTAATTTCTTCGTGATACTTGTTACTCATTAACGTAAAACAGGCTTCAGATTCCGTTGCTTCCTTCGTTTACATCGATACGTTGCGAAACATAGGTGTTTCTTGGTGCTGCGATTTAATCGAGCGATCTCTTCATTTGTGTGCAATTAATGTTATTCCATTTAGATAGCGATGTGTACTTACTGTTACAGATCAGGGTCTTTTATAGTACCATTAATTTATACCTTTTTTCAGGCTAAATATCGCCTGTTATTGTTTTATAATTCCTTTAGTTACCATAGTTGCAGCGAAGAATTTCATGTAATTTGGACCAACTCCTTCGAGACTTTCCGAAGCCAAGTATTCCACAGTGAACCGTTACTGTTCCATATTTTCTATAGATATTTGTTTTTAAATAAACCTATTGGAATACAAATAACAGCTCATTGGATAGTAATTGTCTATTTAGGATGTTCGTAGCCGACTGCCTGCTACTGTTCCACCATCTATCTCTTCCACGCCCAACTCCACCCCATTGTTTGTCCTAAAGACAGATATATAGGTGTAGCTTGAAAGATGGCGTCATTCCTAACGCTGTTTCTACAAATACCACCCTAAAAGTATATCGGCCAATGTACACAGTGATCTTTTCAAGTTACAAATGTTATCCAATCGATACCTTCGTGAATCAGGATTGCCAATCATACTCGATGTGTCAAAGGCTATTGATGCACTGCAGTAGCGGACCAATCCCATTCCATTTGATTCTCGCTCAAACATATCGACACACGTACAAAATAGACAAACATCTTCGCGAACAGCCGTCCGTAGTCGACCCTGTTCTATGATCGAACACGGTTGAACAGTTTCAAAAATTCCTCTTCTCGTACCAGGTTTCGACAGCCATAATGGCCGCTGACACGGTAGCGCGCGATTTCATATATCATATCGTTTCGACACGTTGAAGAGTCGCAGATGCTTTCATTGTCAGTAGCTGAAAAAAGTATTTCAACGGCTATCGTAGAAAATTTCCACGTATATATTGTGTATTGTTGTATTTTTAACTCTCATTAGTATCGTAAATGAGGCACGACTACTTGTTGATTTGGAACTGTACATAGAATCTACAGATATTTGCTGCAAACATATATTTAATAAAAAAAATTTGTAACATGGATACATAAACACGTAATAAGCGTTCAATACGGTTCTAGTGAAAAACTAGTGATATTTATAACTCTAGTGATTTCTAGAAAATATAGAATCTTCGGATTCGTTGACTGTTACATTCGCTATCATAGGGCTAATAAAATTTGAAAACGTTGCGTATAACGTGCGTGATATATTCGTCAAATTTTTCTACAAGTTGTTCGAATTCTTTTCTGCGCTATTTCGTATATGAGAAAAATCCACATTGTACGGCTTAAGGTCGTACACTGTACACGTGTAGGTCAGGCCGCTTAGCTTCACCTGCTCTCCATTTGTCACGTCCGAAATTGCATTACGCGGCACGTCAAATTTCTATATAAAACGACCCTAAGATGCCATTGACTGCGCCCCCGTGGTCGTTTAACATGTCGGCGTTCCGCTTTCTGCTTTACGTCTCTCTACTCCTCTGTGCAATCTTCTCGCTCTCTTTCCATCTCCGTCTCGCTCTTGTTCTCGTCCAGGTACTCTGTGCGTTGCTCTCCATGTGCCTCTCCGGCCATATGGTTCGCGACCCTGCTGCTGTTCATTCATAATACACGCAGCCCTAAAAGTTGAACGCGTTAGACCATGTGCACGGTGAAACTCGGACAGGCGGTTTTCAAAGCGACGCATTGGATAGCCAGCTGAAAATTTTAAAAGCAACCTGGAACCTGGTGTCGCCACCGGCCGAACTCGTCCCTGTAGGGACTAATTTGTAGACAGTAAAATAAAAACTTGCAGGTTAGCTGGTCGATGAGTTCTTTTCAAATATGCAATAGCCAAGGGATGAAACATAGGATGTGGTATTATTCCCTGTATAAGAGCTGTACTCTGTACGAGAGTGCACTTTGCTTTTACTGTAACGTTTATTCTGGATCGTAATGCTGTTAGACAGTTTACTGTTCCTATTGTATTCGCGAAAAGTGTATACGGTAGTTCATAAAAGTGTTCCGACACTTGTAGAAACCTTTTACGAATACATAACGTTCCGTACATTACATAACGTTATACGAGACGTACATGTACGTTTGAATTTTCATTAGCTCTACGTTATACGCATGAATTTTATGATAATGTTGGTAAAAATTTGAAGCAAATCCGGTCATTCCGCAAAACATCGATTCCCAGACACGCTATGAATGTTCCGAAAAACCCGGTATAATATTTTGACGTCATTACAAATTCTTTCTTAATCCATCCTTTACCGCGGACCCTTGTAAACCTAACTGAAAACACGTGACACAAAGAAATAGAGTCTTCCACGGACTGGAAAATCTCAGTTCAAAAGATTAGCAATAACAGCATGGAGTAATGGCACTACAGAAACGTAGTTTACTTTAGATGCCACGAGCGCCGCTATTCTACCGATTCCCATCGAACTCTCCCCCTAATTTCGAGTGAGAAGTACACCATCGGTGGTCATTCCAGCTACCAGACGCAGCAGCTGGTTGAGCTAAAAGCTAATCACAATAGAGCGTGCTCCTTAGACGTATCCTGGCCGTGTATACCTGCAGTTTACCCTCAGAGTCTACGCTTCTTTCAGGATTTCTGCCAGGTAATCGTGGAAATAGGCGAGGATTCTCGAAAAACTTTCCATCGTTATTTCGAGGTCGTTTTCCTTTTGTCAAGCAAGGCCGACGACAGGAAGAGCCTAGGCTGACGACATAATCTGGCCAGGCCTGGCTTACCTACGCTATCTTAACTTCGTTTTTGCCTAAAACGCATTTGGCTCCCGCGTACTCGACGTCCTTGTCGCTGACTCGTCCCTAAGGCGCAGCCGGGGATTACTTCTTAACTCCTGACACAGATTTCCAGAGAGTTTCCACGAATTTATGACTTAGCGTGGCAGCCGTGCCTCACGGAAGGAAGATAACATTTACATAGTCGGATCCTTGGCTGTGCGGCGTTATACCGATCGAAAAAGCTGATGTTTTATGTATTCTCTTTTTACGCGCTGTTTAAAATTCCGTTTGAAAAATAAACGAACATATGGCGTTTGGTAACGAGAGAAGAACTATCGTGCAAATGGAACGGTTTCTTTTGTCCAGCTCGTCGCACCGGATCAGTCGATGATACTCGTTATTGTAGAATTCTCTCTAGTTTCTGTGTTTTTGTCTGTGAAATGGAGCAAGAGAAAGATATAAGTACATACCTTTTGTTGACATTTTGTAAAGAATAACGTTGTAGGTGGCTGCACCCTCTTCCATAATCTCTCCATATCTAGATTTACCTTTATTATCTTCGCAGCAAATATTAGGGCGGGGAACGATTTCCAGTTAGGTTAGGATCTAAAAATAGCAGTATCATATTTTAAAAGACAAAAGGGGAGTCGGTAGGGTAACGCCACAATTGAAGAGTTCTGTATAGGTCCTGAATGGCTC